TTCATTTAAGAGATTGTCAAATTGAACATTGGAATAAGGATCATAAAACCAAATGCAAACTGAGAGCACAAGCCGAAGCTGTCGGTGAACCGTTCATTATTTCATTACCTAAATCAAAAGCGACGTATGCGAATATCATACGATATTTGGAATGCAGATGCAGGTTTGATTCGTTGATTGTTTGATTGTGTTTTTCATGTTTATCTTCATGATTGTGTTCAGATACTTTATCATTGATTGTTTTCAGATACTCGGTCAACGTATTCCAGCCACCCGTCGATAACAGCACTTCAAGCAGTAACAACGATACAATATTAAGTGATTCATCAGATATTTCGACCAATTCCAATACGTCATCGCAGTCCACGTCGTCGAAAGCTGTCAACGTGAACGTAAGTCAAGTCGTTATTTATTTGTTTATATTCGTGAATTTTATATTTTTGTTATTATAGGTGCCATCATCAACAACATCAAACAGTTGCAACTCGACCAAAGCAAACAAAAGACAAATGGTATTGGGTGAGCCAAGGAATAAGACGAATCTCGACTCGAAGTTATTCATCGTCAGACGTTTACAGCAGTTGGATTATGTCATTGGAGATACGATCGTGGACACTAATGGTGATACAGATTGAGAATGTTATGTAGTGNTTTGACAGGGTTGGATGTAATCGATATTAAGAAGTTATGTTTCAGGATATCAATATCGAGGAGTCATCTAAATATCAAAAGAAGCAATCGATGAATGTGAGCAATAATTGGTCAGCATCAAATCCGTCACTGTACGATATGTTGTCGATGTTCTCCGAGACCGAGCGATTGAAACCTGAGGAGTCTTGGTGAGTGCTTGATCTCGTTACTGTTGGATCCTATTGGATTTTGATCTTATTGATCTCGTCCTATCTTATTATCTTGTTGTGTTGTTTTTGGACGAATATAATAGCAGTGTTCGAATGAAATATATCAATTTTAGGTATTGCAATAAGTGTAAGGATCATGTGGAAGCAACAAAGAGGTTGCAGTTGTACCGATTACCGCCGATAATGATAATACAATTGAAGAGGTTTGTTTATACGACATCGATAATGTCGATGCACAGAAGGTCGAAGGATGACAGGGCAGTGAAGTACCCTGTGGCTGAGCTTGATCTGGCGCAGTTCCTGGCTGATTCTGCACCGCAATCTCAGGTAGTTATTTATCATTTGTTTTTGTTGTTGTGGTGGTCATTAGCGTATCATTTTCATTTCAGGAAAC